CAATATGGATATTTTTGGAAAGGAGACGACGTGTAGAGGCCGGAAATCGATGCCAGACGCCATTTTGGAATCCAAGATGGTGACCATCGGGTCAAGAAAAACTGTCAAATACCCTACCATATGAGTATTTCCGGATAAGGAACGACGTGTAGAGACCGGAAATAGATGCCAGACGACATTTTGGGATCCAAGATGGTGGCCATCGGGTCAAGAAAAACTGTCAAATACTCTACAATATGAGTATTTCCGGAAAGGAAACGACGTGTAGAGGCCGGAAATCGATGCAAGATGCCATTTTGGAATCCAAGATGGCGGCCATCAGTTTAAGAAAAACTGTCAAATACACTACAATGTGGGAATTTCCGAAAATGGACGACGTGTAGAGGCCAGATATAGATTCCAGACGCTATTTTGGAATCCAATATGGCGGCAACATGTTTTCCATGGTCACCATAGCCGATCGAACTCCAGACGAAACTAGAACCGCACTACCGTTCATACTGGTGACAACGCTCTGATGAGACAACAAAACCTTACCCCCAAGCTCCTTCCCTGATCCTATCCTTCGACAATGTACCTCTCTAACCTCGAGTAAGCCGCGAGTATTCGGCCCAACTCCTACTAGACATAGAATTAAGTGAATGTTGTTACAAACAAAGAACAATGAACTATCGACTCCGTAAAGCTAACGTGATTGAGCCTTCCAAATAAACGAACTAGTTAAAAAAACATGTTTTCCATATATAAGGCTTACCAAGAATATTGCGTATAATTTATTATGTATAGCGTATCACTGAGCAAGATCGCAACATAACGTGGAAAATTCCTCAAAACAATAAAACGCTTTTAATTGTTTTGTTTTTTTTTCTATCGTCAGCTACAAATTTATTCCTGGACCCCTCTACAGTGAATATGGTTGATATTTTCATTCACCACCTGGTGCGGCAGAAATCGAGTTAAAACTAAATCAACTCTCCGAGGTCGAAAGTTTCTGCACATTGGACAGCAATGTTGAACGGAGTGCAAAAATGCAAGATTTGCTAAGGGAATTCGAGACCCATCTCACGGTTGGAAGAACGAGAGTGACTAGAATGCATAAAACTTGACAGCGCTGGTTGGTTCTTTGTTATCGAAAGTGAAAATAAAATGTGGAATAAATCTGTAGCTTACGATAGAAAAAACAAAACAAATCAAAGCATTTTATTGTTTTGAGGAATTTTCCACGTTACGTTGCGATCTTGCTCAATGATACGCTATACACAATAAAATATACGCAATATGCTTGGTAAGCCTTATTTATGGAAAACATGTTGCCGCCATATTGGATTCCAAAATAGCGTCTGGAATGTATATCTGACCTTTACACGTCGTCCCTTTTCGGAAATTCCTACATTGTAGGATATTTGACAGTATTTATTAAAACCGATGGCCGCCATCTTGGTTTTTAAAATGGCGTCTGGCATTAGTTTCTGGCCTCTACACGTCCGGAAATACCCATATTGTAGGGTATTTGACAGTTTTTATTGAACCAATGGCCTTCATCTTGAATTTCAAAATGGCATCTGGCATCGATTTTCGGCCTCTACACGTCGTTTTCTTTCCTGAAATACTCATATTGTAGGGTATTTGACAGTTTTTCTTGAACCGATGGCAACCATCTTGGATTCCAAAATGACGTCTGGCATCGATTTCTGGCCTCTACACGTCGTTCTCTTTCCGGAAATACCCGTATTATAGGGTATTTGACAGTTTTTCTTGACCCGATGGCCGCCATCTTGGATTCCAAAATGACGTCTGGCAACGATTTCCGGCCAACGGCGCCGGTGGTGTAGTGGTAAGCGTGATTACCTCTCACCCCAGCAGGCCTGGGTTCAATCCCAGTCGGCGCCGCCGGGATGTTCTGAGGCATAACATCTCTGATCACGCCTTCCTTCGGATGGGAAGTAAAGCCGTTGGTCCCCGGTTCATGAGTTGATGGGTCAATAGGTAGGGTCCAGGTGTGGGAGCTGCCTTCCTGGCACGTCGGTAGCATTGGTGCTCAGCACGGAAAACAAGATCGACGGAAAAAACAAACCAAAGGAAAAAAAAACGATTTCCGGCCTCTGCACGTCATCCCCTTTCCAAAAATATCCATATTGTACGGTATTTGACAGTTTTTCCTGAACCAATGGCCGCCATCTTGGATTCCAAAATGGCATCTGACATCGATTTCCGACCTCTACACGTCATCCTTTTTCCGATTCCTGTTCTCACATTGCACAGCAACATCTTATATGGACAAGCTTTGGAGTCATAACATATTAAGAAAGTTCATGTGCACACTAGCGCCGCGTAGTGTGAGGGTTCTGAAATAATATGACCATCATCCGAAAGGACTTAGTGACCTGAACAACTTTTCTCAAGACAGTAACCTTCTATATGGCCAGGTTCTCGAGATACAGCTTATACAGGAAATTCACTTGCACACTAGCGCCACGTAGTGAGCGTGTTCTGAACTAATATGAACATCATCCGAAAGGACTTGATCACCTGCACAACTTTGCTGAAAACAGCAACTTTCTATATGGCCAGGCTCTCGAGATACAGTTTATATAGGAATTGCACATGCACACTAGCGCTGCGTAGTGAGAGAGTTCTGAACTAATATGGCCACCATCCAAAAGGACTTGATCACCTGCACAGCTTTGCTGAAAACAGCAACTTTTTATATGGCCAGGCTCTCGAGATACAGTTTATATAGGAATTGCACATGCACACTAGCGCTGCGTAGTGAGAGAGTTCTGAACTAATATGACGACCATCCGAAAGGACTTAGTCATCTGAACAACTTTGTTGAAGACAGTAACCTTCTATATGGCCAGGTTCTCGAGATACAGCTTATACAGGAAATTCGCTTGCACACTAGCGCTGCGTAGTGAGAGAGTTCTGAAATAATATGACGATCATCCGAAAGGGCTTAGTCATCTGAACAACTTTGTTGAAGACAGTAACCTTCTATATGGCCAGGTTCTCGAGATACAGCTTATACAGGAAATTTACTTGCTCACTAGCGCCGCGTAGTGAGCGTGTTTTGAACTAATATGAACATCATCCGAAAGGACTTGCTCACCTGCACAACTTTGCTGAAAACAGCAACTTTCTATATGGCCAGGCTCTCGAGATACAGTTTATATAGGAATTGCACATGCACACTAGCGCTGCGTAGTGAGAGAGTTCTGAACTAATATGGCGATCATCTGAAAGGACTTGGTCACCTGAACAACTTTGTCGAAGACAGTAACTTTCTATATGGTCAGGATCACGAAATATTCTATGTTGGAAATATGATCCATATATTATAGCGCCCGTCATAAGTAACATAAAAGTGAAGCGCCTCTAGCGGCGTAGTTCTCAATTTAAACCTAAATCCAATGGCACAGGCTTGTTGGTCTAACCCAGTACAGCAACTTTGTCGAAGACAGTATAGCTTTATGAATTGAAACAAATGAGATAATCCACTACAGCCCCCATTAGTGAAAATCCCATAAGCTGTGGGTATCCTTATTCGCGGTTCCTTATTCACGCCCCCGTTACCCCGGCAATAAGGATTCCTGACTGTACTTAGATATCTGAACAAACTCAATTTTCTCTTGGTTGTGATTGTAACTCGACCGGAGATTGTGTTAGTGAGATAAATTCTCTCTTCGACTGTGGTTGGTTTCTATGGTAGCATGTCATGTAGCGCGGTTACTACACGAAGGGGAAACTGCTACAACGTGCTCAGACTGCCGAGAGTCTACACCACTTCAGGCTACGACGCGATGATGACGGGTGACTGTGGGTGGCGTGAGGAGGCTGTGAATGGTGGCGCATGCGAACTAATTGGTAATTTTACAGTGTTGCCTTTTATCAGACGTGTTTTTTATCCTCTGACGTTGCCCTTGTTAGCACATTTTTTCCTGCTCACTTTAGTGGTGAACTAGAGTAAATTTATGAATCCCAAAATGGCTTCAATTTATTGCACAAAATATGAAGTGTATTACATTTTAATTGTACCGGTACTTTATTAGCAGAAAACGGCCCGTTTCGGAGAACTGTGCACGATGGACGATGTCTTTTTTTGATTTCCAGAGTTCATCTTTTTTTTCGTAACATGACAACGTGATGTGACATTTTATGATTGTAAAAAAGCCTAAGCGAGAAGTGATTTTTTGTCTTTTTTAATTAAATAACTCAATAAGTGCCAGTGCACCGTGGAGGAGAAAAGTCTTCAACAAAAGGAATTTAATTCAATTCATCGTTCGCTCTTCATGACAGGGAGTGAAGTTCTCATCTGTGCACCATGGAATGATTCATAAGGCGAAGCAAAGCAGCAGCTTTAACGTTGAACCTCAAGTTCAGAGCGAGAGTGCGAAAAAAGTGAAACGGACATAACAAAAGGATCGTGATTGTTAATTAAGACAAAAGGGATATCGCGCGTAGCCATATTGGAAATATTTTGCCAACACAAACACCTTGGCTTTATTCTCAAGCGTGAAGTTGGCTCGTTTTCTTGCTTCCTGAAAGAGCAGAGATTAAATTACAACCACCGTTTTGGTGTGTCTCTTCACACGCAGCAGCAGTAACACCCGACGGCATCGCAGAGTAGGATGATTTACGCTGCTGAAATTCCTTTCCTAATGACGATTGTTCTCTGCCTGGCATAGGTTTACACGACACAGGCAGCGTTGCTGGTTCATGATCCTTGGTTTAATTTTGGAACAAAGAGCATTAGCATTTTTCAAATTTTTCAGTGACAGTGAAGTAATGTACATGGCGAGTTTTTATTCTATCCGGTAGAAGGGTTAATACAGTTCTCCAGATTCTTTCGAGAAACACATTGTAGAATTGAGTACATTTTCCCTACCTTTGTGACGATTGTATTATGCAAATCAACCCTTGACCTAGAAAATCATACTACATAGCCGTTCATACAAGACCGTGATCCAAGAAATGTGTTAGGTAATAGTTTATTGACTCACCTGTATCCTATCTTCTGGAAGATCTGTTTTCAGCGAAAGCATTTCTCTAGCGTACACATCGGGGTAATGAGCTTCCTTAAAGGCCTTTTCTAATTCGTCAAGCTGGTAACTGGTAAAAATTGTTCGACTGAAAATAGATTATTGGTAGAAAAATAACACAACAATTTTACTGTTCAGTGAAAATTTTGTAAGAAAGATGTAACTGGTGGATTTTTGACGAACTGAAAGTTTCTCAATAATTTTGCGTGTGCTTAAGTGAAGTGTTCGGTTGTTAAAAAAATAGGAACGATATGATTGTAAATCAGTTATAAATGCCAATTTTCAAATACTATCAAACACCCACTGGCCGGCAGTGGTAGTATGGAAGAAATCTGCTAGCAATAATATTTGTAGTGACAATTGAAAGCAGCTTTAGTCCGGGAGTTAGAAGGTGATAATTCGACTGCAGATCCAGCAACCCATTTCAGAATGCCTGGTAATTCACATCCATTCCGAGGTCACTTTTACATACAATAATCCCCGCATGTAAACAATGCCTTTATCATATGAATGGATAATGGTAGTGCAAACACACTCGCTGGTGGCAAACAAGAAGTGGAGAGTTTGCGATTAGCGATAAAAGACGAAGGCTTTCGACAAGGATCTTTTCGTTGAAGCACTCCGTGTGGACAGGGGCCCCGTGGATCTGAACGCGATCGAGCTGACAGAAACGTTAGTGAGTTGGTGGAACGAGGCACTTAGCAACCTCCGCGCTAGTTATCTCAGAGCCAGAAGACGTGTACAGAGATCAAGAACGGAAGCAGACAGAGAGGACCGTAGAGGAGTGTTTCGAGCGGCCTCACTTAAACGAGAGATAAAGTAGAGCAAGTCAAACTGTTTTAAGGAGCTGTGTCGAGACGCTGACTTTCCCCGAAGCACGACTTAACAACTTGGCCACGGAGCGTGAGAGGAATATAACGTCGAAGTCACCAATGAGGAACTCGTTTCAGTGGCGAAAGGAGTGAAGGTGAAGAAAACACTCGGTCCGGATAGAATCCCCAACGTAGTGTTGGGGATCCAGCGGTGTATAGGTCTATATGCTTACTGGATACACTCGGAAAACTCTTGGAGAGGATCATCCTAAACAGGCTGACGAGATGCACGGATTGTCGGAGATGCACCCAAGTAACCATAGGCACGTTATTTCGCCTTTTTGGCTATACACGGGACTCATCCAAACTTGCAAACACTGGTATAGCAGTTGTTCAGCTGTATATAGCCAAAAAAGCAAAATAACGTGCCTTATGTCATGCTCTACATGCAGAGTTGTACACACTAACTGCTCATTTGTTAATAACTTTTCACTCAGTTGTCGAAATTTGTTTTTCTTTTAAGTAATTGATAGATTGGGATCTTATCTTGGGAGTAGGTAAATCTTAACATTTGAATCAACACCAATGAATTTTTGCACTTAAAGTGCGTGATGTGCAGCGAGCATTTCTCACTTCATTTTTACAACGCAAAAACAAATAGGTACAGTTAATTACAAGAATAAAAACCTACGTTTTTTTAACGTATCTATAGCGAGTTTAAACTCTATTATATATACTGCTTAAAAAAGAACCAATGAGCAGTTCGTGACCAAAACTGTGTATGCCAAGCATACCTTGGGTAGATGGGATTCCGGAAAGGGAGATCAACGGTGGACAAAATTCGGACAGTGGTCGAGAGAGCCAAGAAGGCGTGGTGCCGGTGGTGTAGTGGAAAGCGTGATTACCTCTCACCCCAGCGCCTGGGTTCAATCCCAGTCGGCGCTGCCGGGATGCTCTGAGGCATAACATCTCTGATCACGCCTAGTAGTAACGCCGTTGGTCCCCGATTCATGAGTTGATGATTTCCCCATTAGACCTTTTCGACATTTCGTCCCTTTAAATTACAGTCGACCTTTTGTCCATTTTTTATTATTATAGTCACTTCAACGCTCTTGGGTCATTCTTGACTTGTCCGGGGCGTGAGAGGTATGGTATGTAACCACTACGCCGGGGCCATCCCCTTTTGACCATTCGAATTTCTGTCCATTTGACCTTTTGTTCGTTCAACCTGTTGTCGATTCCGATCTTTTGTCCTCGACTTTTTGTTTTACAACCCTGCGGCGCACGCTGCTGGTTAACCACAGCGGTTAGTTTGTTCCAACGTCTGGCCATCTCTGCAGTATCTCGAGTCACCTTATCAGTTTTCTTCAACTTCCGGTTGATAATTTGCAGAATATCTCTGGATTGCTCTTGCTTGTCCATTCGAGTCCATTGTCTTGTTTTTGACGAAAGTCTGGGATTTTCGTCCGCTGCTGCAAATGCCATGCCAGATCATGGATTTCCGTGCAAATTTCTAATCGAAAATGAACTTATAGTTGCCTGGGGCGTCTCCTCATGCACATCGTACGTATCGGCCTGTGACGTAGGTGTAACTACAAGATCAAATTCTTCTCTAGGCACATTTTTTTTAAACTGTACGAATCGTTACTATTGAGAGACGACTGGCAGCAGGATGGTTCAACAGGAGGAGCACTGTCAAAACAAACTGATTTCACAATATTTCAAAACCAACCACTAGGGCCGCTGATATAAAATAAACTGTGCATACGGATTCTTATTGGACCAAACTGTTTGTCAAGAAACTGAATTACTTGGACGCGTACCTATCTGCATCGTAAAATTAATTCGATCAGAACAATTTTGTCGTTCCAGATGTTAAAAAATTGAATTTGACAGAAAATGTAAATTTTAGAGGATCTTTATTTTCAATATGAATTCTATCTTTGGTTCTATACATAAGAGTCGTAGTCGGAGTAGAAATACTTTCACCAACACTGATTCCGACTCCGATTTCTAATCAGATTCCGACTCCTGATGTCGAAAAAAAAAAACAGAGATTTTGCTGTAATCCCAAATGTTGTTAAAAAAAACTGATAAAAACTCCAATAGCATGTTTGTTATTTTTTTAAACATATTTTTTATAAAGATTTTCTTCTTCTTCATGGCTACCTGCAAAGTTTCAAAAAATCGATTTATTTTTTATTGAAAATTATTTTCCCAAAATTTGAAACTGATCCGATAAAAATTGACGAACTTATACGAGTTTGAAGAGTACCATGTCCATGATACCGGGAATATAACTTAAATCTTTTAAAGCGACCATTTCGAAATCACGTTTTCAAAGTCGGTGTTCGTGATTATTCGAATTCAATGCATCCGATTTGTTCAGTTGTTTTTGTATATTGTTTAGAACTTTTTATTGAGGCCTTGGTCATTAGGATTTCACATATTATCATATTATTAAAATTCGTTTTTAAGAGCCAATTCAAAACAGGAAACAAGGGAACAACCACCATATAATGTAATAATTTTAAAAGACGAATGTATGAACAATAATTGTGTGAAAACCGATTTGAAATATGTCGCTCACTTTCCGAGAAGAAAAAAAATCACTATTTCGCTTTTTTTAGCCTCCAAGGTAGGCTTGACCCCTTAAATTTGCAAAATGGTAACTTTTAAAGATTGAACAACATTGTAGAAGTTCAATTTTTACTAAAATGTTAGAACTTGTTTAGAACATTATTTCGGAAACAAAGCGTCGATTTCATTTTCAATGTGATGCTTGCATAAAACAAGCTCGTTCTTTATGCCAAATATAGTTTAAAATTACACGAGGGTAAAATATCATGTCCACCGAATGTGCGGAAACGAAATCTACTACCAAGAATGCTGGATAGGATCCTAGCAGGACATCGCTGCAAAGGCATGCTAAGTGTATGTCGTAGCATTTTATGGGGTTATGTGGAATTTGTCACCGGCCATTATTAGAGTTCTGTTCCATTTGTTGAATTTTCACTTAGATTTGACGTATAGAAAATTATCAAATAAACCTGCTATTATTTCTGACTTATTTCTGACAGACCAAGAATCAATTTTGACAAACACCTTCTCGAAAATCACACGATCAGCAACAGATGGATTTTCGAACATAATAATTTATTTTCGAAATATCAAATTTAAGTGAAAATTCACCAAATGGAACACAGCCTAGGTATTGCAAAGGGGGGATCTCAAATTGGTCAAAAATATGCTACGTCATGTATGCATGTCGCCCATGTGATTTTTCTGGGGTCATGAGATAAGCACAAACAGACTCCATATGAACATTATCACCAGTTTATCTGAACTCAGTGATAATGTTCATAGAGAGTTAGTTGAGCTATTTGTTTGGTGTAGAGCTAGTAGCTGAAAAATAGTTATATAAATTACGTGTTGGGTATATTCATCACTACGACCACTGTGATTTCATAGATCTATTTTGATGGGGGCAAAATAGTATATATTTCAATATCTTACCTATGCCTTCGCTTCTTTTTCTTTTTCTTTCCATATCCGTTGATATTCTCTAACGTAAAGTCTTTGGAAGAATCTATGCCGCCTGTAGAGAAAAAGAAAGCAAAATAGTGGTTTGTAAATCCAACGATAACTACAACATTTAAATTTATAGTCTAGTTATTAACACAGATGGTGAATTTCGTGCGCATTAAGGTTAAAAATTTCGAAATTTCAATTCCATGTTTGGTTTACTTTTACTAAGCATGATTCAGATCAATGGCTACCATAAGCATAAAAAAGAACAACTTGTCTGTTTAGCTACCTAACGCTTGCAGAAAACGCAGAAAAGTGAAGACGAAAATTGTTCCCGAATCAACCATTTCATTAAGTTTGCCTTTACGAGCGATCAGGAGAAAAATGTAAAGTAGTTGATTGCTCGTAAAAGGGAATCAAATAGATTTGCCAAATAAGAGGGATGAAAACGTTTGACAACAGGGAAAGCAGGAAAGGAACTATCTCTCTTCTTTGTAAGGTGAAGAGTAAAGAAACGGTAGATAACGATCGTTTGAAAGAAGTCGTATCGGGAGAGTACCTTTTCTCAGCCCTGCTCTACTATTTTATTCATTATATAACACAGTTGAACGAAATTTCCTTCCCTGCAATGGTTTGGCTTTTGTGATTTGGGATTCTATGCGCATGAATTGCGAAAGGTTGACTGTTGTAAGAATCATATTATTCGATGTCGAGTTTCTTTTTACATTCAGTCTAGAGTAGCAGCAGCTTGAATATTTACTTCGATATCTCTATAGGGAAACTGTTGCGGTGTACAATCGACGAGAGAGAAGGGTCATTTGAAAAATTAACTATATCGATATGTGGGTGGTTTAGGTTGTTTAGGATGTTCTTGTGGTTGTTGAGAAATTTCCATTGACACACCTATATCTTAAGTGCACCATACTTTGGAAGAAAACAACTAAATACTTGTGAATTAGCAGAAATGCTCTAATGCAGGCCTGCCGAACTTGTATTATTGAAAAAAAGATCCATAAAATATTGAAAAACGTTCTTTAAAAAACATACAAATGATCCATAAAACACCGCAAGAAATCTCTTAAAAAGTGTGAATGATCCATAAAAAATATCAATATGATCCATATTTTATGTCAAATTTAGCAGCACAATTGTAAAAATGTACCGCTAAATTATAAAGAATGAGCATTGAAATTGCTCGAATTACTCATAAACATATTGCAAATGATCCATAAAACATTCAGCAATGAACCTTAAACTAATGAAAGTGAAAATCAAGCTTGCAAACTTAAAAATATAGACACGATTCATAAATTAGACATAGAGGGAAATGTCTCTAATGTTGGCCTATGGATCTATGATTGGGCCCATCGCTAAAAATAAGCTTTTTTTTATCAATTTTATCTAGATGAACGCGTTATTGGGACGTTACTAATGGATATTTTTGGTTGTTTTTGAAAATTTAGTCGATTACTGAGCTTATGTATGGGCCCAAATTAGGCACACTAAGGCCTACATTACCTGCATTTCCCCTGTATTGTTCATGTTTTGAAAACTATATATATATATTTTTTTTTAAATTTGATCCATTAACTTTCGAAAATTGCCCCATTACTACGTAGCTACTCTGGTTTACTGTGCTACCCGTGTTTTTTTTTGTTAGAAGAGCGGAGCGATGGACCAGCATCTAGAATAAGCATCTAAAAGAAGCTTCTAAAAAATATTTCCTAGGATGCTTCTGAACACTCTGAACATGATGCAACCGGTAAAATGTGTAACGGAAAATTGGTAATGATTACTCAACTATTTATCAAAAGATTTTAAACCTATTCATACCGAATAAATCTTTAAAGTCTTTTGTTCAAGTGGCACCCATTGATTTGAAATTCGTCAATAAATAGCTGAGCTATGGTTTTTCAAACATTACAAGTTTGCCGTTACACATTTGACCAGAGGCATCGTGCTCAGAGTGTTAAAAAGATTTTTATAGAATCTTTTTTTGGAAGCTAATTCTAGACGCTTACCCGTCGCTTGGCACTTCTAACTTTAAAAAAACACGGGTATGTCAGTAAATCTAAGTAGCTACGTAGTAATGGAACATCTTTTCAAGGTTTATGGAACAAACTCAAAAAGTTAGAGTCCAAAAAATGAGCAGTATATTTCTAATTTATGGATCATGCCTATATTTTTAAGAGCGCAAACTTGATTTTATATGGATCACTTTCATTAGTTTAAGGTTCATTGCTGAATGTTTTATGGATCATTTGCAATATGTATATGGGTAATTCTTAAAATTTGAATGAGCATTTCATTAGACATTTAGCGGTACATTTTTACAATAGTGTTGCTAAATTTTACTGAAAATATTTATCATATTTATATTTTTTTAAGGATCATTCACACTTTTTAAGAGATTTCCTGCGGTGTTTTATGGATCATTTGGGTGTATTTTAGGGAGCGTTTCAAATTTGTTATGTATCATTTATTGGTTTTTATACTCAAAAGTATGTTTGCCGTATTATTCGCTGGCCAAATGTCGTAATACATTTCAGTCGGCCACTCTGGGCAGCGAAGCCGGTATTGTGGCCAATATCTCTATCCCCATGAATATGCTTCCTATATATTTGCGACCTTCGAAACAGTTGTCCAGTTTTTGGTTTTCGAAATAAAAATTGAATATAGAGACGATATTAGGAAACAATACCCACTCGGAACAAAAATTGAGCAATGCTTTCAATCTTGCAATCTAAGGGCCGATTTCACCTACGCTTAAAACTCAAACTAGCTTTTCAAGCACTGCAGTGCACTGGTGACGAACTCCTAAAGTGTTTTAACATTTTTTGAAAAAGTGTCGATAATCTTATTTTTTATATATTCTGACCTTGTCTGGATTTTCACAAAAGTGAAACTATCTAAGAATCGAGATTCATCTGCTGGATAGAACAGTTCACGTAACACTAATAATAATAATAATAATAATAATAATAATAGCCCGTACCATGAGGTAGGCCCCTCCTGGTATCCTGTATAAAGGATATTGTTAATGGGAAGCTTACTTCTCCGAATAAAAAATACGTTTTGATTTTTTTCTAAAAATATTGGAAAAAGTTATAAATAATCTAAATAAATCAGATTCTTTTCTATTTTTGTAAAAGAGAATTCAAGCATAAACTGTTTGTATCTATGTCATTATGGCACAAAGTTGGACTCAAAATCGCAAAAATCGACAAATCGATTTTGTTTATAGTCCAAAGTCGTCTTAACCACCCTTGGGGCCCTTATTCATTTTTTTATTATGGGTTCCCCTCTGATTTGTTATCAATTTTCAAATTTTCAGCACTCAGCGGCGCCTGTGGTGTAGTGGTAAGCGTGATTGCCTCTCACCCCACTAGGCCTGGGTTCAATCCCAGTCGGCGCCGCCGGGATCTTCTGAGGCATAACATCTCTGATCACACACCTTCCTTCGGAAGGGAAATAAAGCCGTTGGTCCCGGTTCATGAGTTGGGAGTATGGTCCAGGTGTGGGAACGCCTCCCTGGCGTCGGTAGCATTGGTGCTCAGCACGGAAAACAAGATCGACGAAAAACAAATCAAGGAAAAAAAATCAGCACTTAAAGACATTATAATATTATGTACAATTTAATTACTTTCCAAGGCTCAAATGCGGAAGCTTTGTGGAGCCGAAATATACTTTTAACAATATTTCTTAACACTAGAGTTCGTAGGGCCGAATACTCGCAGCTTACTCGTGGTTAGGGGCCACAAACTTTTAACAGATAAGGAGGGGTTATGGAAGAGGTACACTAGAATGCGATTAATACATTTATCTCGATCGCCGTTGAATTGATTTTTATCGATGATTGACTGTGGGAGGTGCACTGCGCTGACGAGAAAGTGCTCTGGATCTCAAGGATGAGAGAACAGACACTTAAATTGATACAGGAACAAACAAAACATTACTTAATTCTTAAAATCAAGTAATTCTATCCATCAATGTTGATGATCGAAGAAAGCAATGGCCACTAAGAAGCTAGTTGCTTCAAAAGAGTTTTCAACGTTGGAATCATCATACCGATGATATTTCTTAAGAAATTATCATCTACACAGAAAAATAGGAATAACATATATACACTCATTTTGTAGAAAAGAATTACTGTTATATTGTTTTAAGCTTTTATGTGTTTAGTACTGACAATTTCTACAAAATATATTGAATTTGAAAATTATTCCGCTTTTGGCATGATTTCGTTTTTGGCAACTGAAAACGAGAAGCGTGTCGCCAAATACGGAATACATACTACTGTAGTAGATATTTACGTATAAGTGAAAACAATTGAACTTTCGTGAACTCACTTAATACAATTCTCGCTAGTCTTGATCAAAGCGGTCGTCAATGTCATCACATTAACATTGAAGAGATCGACATTGAAAAAGTCTACTTGGTACTCAAACACCGAAACATCTTCCGATTTGCAACAATGAACATGATTCCCTTCTTTTCGCATTTCCTGGAAGTCACCACAAAATTACCCAGGTACATCCCTGCCATCTGCGAAAAGGGTTGAATATTGTGACACTTTGATTACGTTCTCAAAGCGTGTCAATTTACTCGCATTAAATAACTATCACAAAATTATTATAATCATGTCAACCGAAATTGCTTTTGAGTAACACACCTTTTTTAAAACGGGCGTCGGTAGTCATCGTCGTGTCGCTGGAGCAGAAAGGTCGAAAGAATAAATATAACATTTCTATAGCAATGCAGTTTTGCTTGCGCTTGTGTCGATGTCTGCAGAGTTCTGCCTTTTGTCGTTCTGTCAACCAAAATATCATTGCGACATAAAGGAAGTGCTTTCTCAACGCGCAGTGCTACTATGTGCAGCATTCTCTGTCCTTCTATACCCTTTCGTAGTTTTGCTTTTTTCGTTCGCTTCCGAGGTGTTTCGCAAACTGACACTTTCCAGCTCAGTGTATGTCTGTCTATTCAGGACAATTTTATTCGCACTGAAAAGGGAAATTTTTCTTTATGTTCTGATACATGTGTCAAATGCACATATTTATGCAATCAATGTAC